TTTATATTGTGCCAATGTATATTGGGGTATGTCATCTTTAAAACAAGAAGCACTGAGATTGCCATGAGTCTCAAAGGAGATGGTTTTTAAACAGAGCTAAGCTTGTTAGACCATGCAGACTTTTGAAGTTGTAATGGATGCGTTTTATATTATCAGATAGTTGTGCACTACTTGGGACCAGGGCTACCATGTTGCCATTTGAATGTGAAACATTTGCATTCGCTCCATTGTTAGAACACTGGGTTTCCAACTTGTGGTGCTGTTTTGAAAGGTGTGGAAGCTTTAGGAGGTAGAGCCCTGGCGGAAGAATTGGGCCATTCCAGGAGGGCCCTGGGATTTTATATCCTGGTCCCTCCTCCTGTGCATTTCTTCTTGACTGGGGACACAGGGTAACCGGCTGGACTGTAACAATGTAGCCGGCTGGATTGTAACAATGTAACCGGCTGGACTGTAACAATGTAGCCGGCTGGATTGTAACAATGTAACTGGCTGGATAGTCACAATATAGCGTGCTGGACTGTCACAATGTAACCAGCTGAATTGTCACAATGCAACCAGCTGGATCCTCCTCTTCCTCTCTGTCTTTAGGAGTTGTATCTCCTAAAATGGTGAGCCACAATAAGCCTTTCTGTTTTTAAGTGCTTTTATGGTGTTCTGCCATTACTACATATGGAAAATCTGTCCAGTGTCTTTTAAAACTATCAAATGTTCATCAAAAGCAGTTCCATCATTTTTATTAGCAACGCATGGGCCTCCTACCTTTTCCACACCATTGTCAACACTGGTTAGTAGATGGTGTAACCCTACTAGTAAACATGAAGCAAAACCAGTAATGGTTTGGATTTGCATTTCCCTAGTGACTAACGTTGAGTGCCTGCTAACAGGATTATTGTCCATTTGTATGTTTTTTGTTAAATGTCTATGTAGAACTTTTGTTTATTTTTAAACCTGCCCTATCTTCATTACTGAGTACCAGAAATGTCCATGTTTTGGGATGTCTTTTTCACATTTGACTATTATCATTTGAAATAACAAGTTGTTTTATATAGCTAAAATTCAGCTTGTCTATTTTCCCTTTTGACTCTTTTTATTTCGTATTGTTTACAAAGCATTGGCTGGCTGAGCCCAGTAACTTTCACTTTCCTATGGTGACCGTTAGGCTAGAAAGTCTGGTAGCTTCTAGAAACTTCTGGAACCAATGCCATGGCTTGTCCTCTCAGTCAAGGACACTGGTATTAGAAAACAGAAAACCAAAGCCACTTCTCCAGAAACCTATCTGGCACTCTCTTTTGCTGAATTTTCTTGAGCTGGGAATCCTGAGAGGGTGGGCTGGCCTCTAACTCTTCCATCTTTTGGCTGTCTCTGCAGGACTGGGACTCTCCAGGCTGGAATGGCATCCTGCCATCCTGGATCTTCACAGCGGGCATCTCCTCCTTGTGGTAACTTGGGCTATGAAGAGTCACCAGGCTCTGAGAAGACCTGCTATCCTAACCCTCTCCATGATGACTGTAGACACCACTTTAATCAATACAGCATTGCTGTTTTGAAATGGAAAATTGTGAGTCTTCCAACTTTTTTCATCTTTCCCAAGAAGGATGTAGATTGTATTTTGAATCCCTGGCTCTGTGCATCCCAGAACCAGCAAAATAAGACGGGATTTTTAATGTGGGTGGCACTGAATTATCAGATCGATTTTGAAAGAAGAAGCAGCTTTAACAATCTAACATCTTCTGACCCATGGACATTAGCTTTGTTTCTACCTATTTACGTTTTCTTTAATTTTTAAACAGCTCCGTGGCTTTTAGCATGCACGTTCTACATTTCTTTCATTAAATGTACTCATCAGTATATTTTTACTAGAGTAAATGAAATTTTTATTACTTTATTTTTAGATTTTCCATTACCAACAGCTGAAAAACACTTGATTGTTACATATTGATTTTGTAACATTGCTCAACTCATTTATTACTTTCAGTAGGTTCCTTAAGATTTTTCCATAGACAGTATCAAGGCATCGGCACAGATTTATGTCTTCATAAATCCATTTATGTCTGGATTCTTTTTCCTTTTCTAATTACTCTGCTTAAACTTACAGGGTGATACTGATTAGAGGCTGCAAGAATAAGCATTCTATCTTGTTCTATTTTTAGAGTGAAAATATTCAATCTTTTAACCATTAAGTGTTACATTATTGTAGGTTTTCATAATGGCTTTTATTAGGTCGAGAAAATTCTCTTTTATTCCTGGTTCGCTGAATGGTTTACATCATGAGAGTATGCTAGGTTTTGCCAATATTTTTTGTGTATGTCTATTAAGATGTCTATGGTATTTTTAGTTTTATGATATTCATATGGCATATAATATTGATTTTCCGATGTAAAAGCGATCTTTGATTCCTAGAATAAATCTCAAGATTTATTCAAGGGAGCGATCTCTTTGTTGTGTCCTTTTGAGACAGGGTCTTACTGTGTAGCCAGACTTGAACTCGTAATCTTCCTTCCTCAGTCTCGTGGGCACTGGGGTTATAGGTGCACACTATACACCCCACTCAGTTATGATGCACAATTCTCCTTACACATTGTTGGATTTCACCTGATAATATTTTGTTGACAATTAACTTGTTTTTAGTTGATTATATTTTCTTGACAGTGAGTCATGGATAATGTATTTAAATACTGTTAACCATTATATGCAGGGCTGTGCTCATGTGACCGAGCAGGGCTGTGCACGTGTGACCGTGCAGGGTTGTGCACGTGTGACCGAGGAGGGCTGTGCACGTGTGACCATGCCACAGGGAGTTTGGCTCACTTCAGTTTGCTTCTTTGTTCTTCAGCTCTTCTTCTGTGTTTCTCCAAGGCCTCAATTATCTCAGAGATACTGAGACAACTTTAAAATGTTTAGTTTTTGCTACAATTAATGTTCTTTCTAAACACAAGTGCGACCTGTTCCCTTCAACGTAGGACTGTTTCTGTAGTCAGTTAACCTGGAGAACCAAACCATAGGACTCAAAAGCTACATTAGCAATACAAGTCCTACTTGAGCTTGGAGCCTGGAGCACAACAGTCCTCTGCCTAGTGAAAGTGACACGTGACTTGCAGAACTGAAGTCCAGACTGGCTTCCTTGGTGGGATTACAATAATCATTGTATAATTAACCTCCATTTCTTCTTAACTAGCTATTTTATAATGCTTTGTAACAGGAATTGAACGTTTTTTTAGTTTGTCTTACTTTTCTATTGCTGTGATTAAACAAATAAACAAACAAACAAAAACATGACCAAGGCAACTTACAAAAGAAAGCATTTAATTTGGAGCTCACGGTTCCAGAGGGTTAGAATCCATGGCCATCGTGGCAGGGAGCGTGGCAGCAGGCAGGTATGGGGCTAGGGCTAGTGTAGTTGGTGAGAGCTCATGTCTTGACCCAGAAGCACGGGGCTGAGAGCAAACTGAAAACAGCGTGGGCTTTTGAAACCTCAAAACCATGCCCAGTGATGCGCCACCTCCATGAGCACACATCGTAATCCTTCTCCAACGGTTCCACCAGATAGAGACTAAGTGGTCAAATATGAGTGAGTCTATGGGGGGGGGGTCATTCTCACTCTAAACACCTGTTATATTTATTATGTCAGATTGAAGCCAATAGTTTATATCCAAGTCGATTGACAAATTACACTTCTCTGATGCCACTAAGAAAATGGTGGCTAGTGAAATTCACTAAAGGAATTTTATTTTATTTTATTATTTGCTAAGTTGTTCCTGCTATAAATACAAGAACTTTTAAAAGGCAGACTATGGCTGGGAGGTGACTTAGTTGGTACAGTGCCCCGCTTCTTTCTCCAAAGTGTGTGAGGACCTGAATTGGATCCTCCATCGTCCACAAAATACGGAGAGCCCAGCGACCCACATACATAATTCCAGAGCTGGGAGGGCAGAAACAGGCAAACCATTGGGGCTCCTTGGCTAGCCCAGTGTAGCCCACTCCATGAGTTCCAGCTCAGCAAGCTGCTGTCAAACAAGAAGTCAATAAATAAAAAAGTTAAAAAGATGGAGAGGGAGGACACGAGACACTGCTCTCACCTCAAAGGCAAACTGAGTGAGCTGAAGTTTTACAGTATCAACATAGAACATCTTGCATAAATCAAGTCTTTCCAATACATCGGTGGAAATGTCAGGTGGAAAAATCTCTTTTCTGGCCCCTATGTAATCTGTGAACTTTCTTAGCTTCTGGGCTGGTGGAAGCTGGTACCCTGCTAAGAAGCTAACACATTCCAAAGGTCTCACCTTATATTCACCAGGAAGCTGGCCATTCAAGGACACTGGGGTGCTAGAAAAGGCTAAAGGCAGCTCAAGATAGATTATAATGAGGCTCCGGATTGCGACAGTATAACTTGTCCCCAGTCGCTCAAGTTCTAAGCAGTTTTTCACTCTTGCAGAAACTTCAATTTAAGTTTCGACTCCTTTCCAGAAATCTCACTCCTCACACCCAAAGTCCACCTCAGGCCTGTACCGGTAAACAAACCCACGTTCACATCTGCAATATGTGCGCACACACAGGGTTAAAAATAACACTTCTTAATTTAAAAAGAAAAATGCATAAACTGGCCCAGTTCTAGTCCGACAAAATTAGACATCAGAAGCTGCCGTTCTCATGGTTTTCATATCGTTTTCAAACTGGTTACAAAACCCTACATGGAAAGTCCTACTGGCTGTACACACCCGCTACAGTAAAGTAAATGCGTGAACAAGCAGGGCGATCCTCAGTCTCCCCGGTGCCCTGCTCCCTCTGCCAACGGGAAATGCACACACCCTTTTTGCAGGATAAAGGAGATCGCTTCCGCTCGGGGGCACAAGCAAGACTTCCAGAATTACCCTGCTCTGTCCCTGACCAGATAGACCTCACCGTGAACTCCTACACCCGACTCGATCGCGCAGCGACCCCGAGCAGCCGCTACCTCACAGGAGCCCGAACCGCAGCAGACTCCAGGCTCCGGGCTCCTTAAACTTCACTCCGAACTTCCCGGCGGGAGCCTCGTCCACCAATCACAAGCGTCCTTCCGCAAGCCCCGCCCTCTCCCGCCCCGCCCCCCCGACGCACGCGGCGCGCTGACGCCAGCGGCGAGCCGGGCCGTTGGGCAGCGAAGGCCCCGCCCTGGCCGCCCGGTGCGCGGCCCCGGCGGCTCGACCTCCCTCCCCCTCCGCCCCCGATGAGGTTTTTCAGGCGGCGGCCGCGGTCCCCGGCGCTGGTGCTGCTGCTCCTGCGGCCGCTGCTCGCTTCCTCCGGAGCCTCGGTGCCCGGCTCGCAGCCCCGAGCCATGAACGCGGGCGGCGGCGCGCGGGGCTACTGCCCCCGCTTGCAGCGCTCCACCGTGCCGGGCTCCGACCCGCAGCGCTGCAACGAGCTGCTGCTGCTGGCGGCCGGGGACGAGGCGGCCCTGGAGCCGCGGCACCACGTCCTCTACTTCCCGGGGGATGTGCAGGTAACGCGCGGGCCGGGCCTCCCCGACACGCCCACGCGGGTTGTCACACGGGAGGCGGGCGGGGTGTGTTGGGGGGGGGGGGAAGGGACCTATGGAGGCCGCGGTCTGTCTGTCGGTCCCGGCGCCGCTGGGGTCGGGGGAAGGAGAGGCGTTGCAGGGAGTGGGACACGCTCGCTCAGCTCCAGCCTGTCTGGGACGACGGTGTGCGTGCTGGGCACGGGGCACTGTTTGGAAAACGCCTTCTCACTAAAATACAGCCGTTGATCCGTTACTGAAGTGTGACCTCTTCCATAACCCTCAAACACGGGGTGGAAGAAATGGAATGGCCAACCGTGCTAGGGATGCTGAGGCCCATTTGAATGCAGCGCGGTGCGGTGTGCGTACTTGGTGTTGCTGGGTTCACAGCTGCAGAGCAACGTCCACGCTGGAGCTGTCCTGGAAGCCGGGTTTTCGTCTAAAACAGCGTTGTGTGAGGAATACATTAACCAACCACGTGAGAGTATCTGAATTGGTTAACAGGAAGAGGCAGGGCTCTCTGTCTCTTTAGTTGTGTGCCAGGTGTCAGTCACCCCAGGTGACTTGTGTGTACTGTGTTGGACAGCGCAGATCGCAGATCCAGAGAGCCTTTCCGTCGAGCATCATCTAGCCCAGAAAGTTCTGTTAGCGCTAGGGTAGACATGCAAGTTAGAATAGAACAACCAGCCAGATGCTTTCCCCGTACTAGGATTTGTTCAAAACTATCATTGTTTTAAACTTGGTACTTGAGGATGATAAACCTAACGATCATAGTGGTACTTAGTATCTTCTCTTGCTCTCAAACTAATCCATTGACTTGACTGGTTGACTGCTATAATGGGACCTGGAAAAAGAACAAAACAAAACTCGGATTTAGATTTAAGGAAATCTACTCAGTTGGTGCCTTTGTACTCTGAATGCAACAGATTTGTTGCCTCTGACATTAACTTGCAGAAATTTGCGACCAGCTACTAAATGCATCCCAGAGGTGGTGGAGGTGGTTGTCATGGCGGCTTCGTACTTTCTGGCGTTAGTGTGCCAGACAGAACATCCCCCTGTCTTTGAATGGGGCCCAAAGTGCTGCAGATATGGTCTGAGTGGCGGCTTCTGTTGCGCCTTCATCCATCCCGTTAGCTTCCTGGACAACTACGACAGAGTGGTCATTGTGACAGAGTGGTCATTGTGCGAAGTGTGGTGTTTTATAGAGGGAAAGAAATGAAAGGAAGGGGGCTCCAAGGCCAAACTGCCTAGAGGTAACACTCCCTTCCCTGCGCTTTAGCCTAAAGCCTGTACAGAAGTCAACCCTCCCCTCTGTGGGCGTCAGTCAAGGTTAAATACTGGAAGAGCCCAGCGAGTGCCACCCCTCCTCCCCTTTAGGCACTGGAGTGCTCCCAGGGTGGACTTCTCTAGCCTTCACTCTTGTGGCTCTGCCTATTGTTTCTTGACTATTTATGTAGTCTAGACATAAGCTGGATGTTTATGGATTCACCAATTGCTTGCCAGTTGCTTCCTTTGGATATTTAGTAGCCGTCTAGAACCGAAAATCTGTTCACTCCTCAGCAGTCTTCCTCGTCCAAGTTAATGAAAATACCGACTTAAGTGGCTCAGCTCAGAAATTTGAAGTCCTCCTAGGTGGATTTCCTACCTTATCTCTAACCCAGCCCTAACTGCAGTGCCTCCACCCTGCCTCTTAGTGCGTCTGAAACAGTGGAGGTCTCCTTATACTCCTTATACCGCCCCTTTCGAAACCCTCCATGTGTATCTTCCTCCGTAGAGAGAGCCAGCGTCCCCGAGTACCAGGATCGCCAGTGTCATCAGACCTGGCTTTCCCGAAGGGTGAATGACCGTGAGAGTATGTCTTGACTTTATTCTCTGGGGTCATCCAGCCCTTTCTTAAGCCATTCCCTTTGGCTGGATCCTAGTCCCTGCTTAGTTGGGCTGTGTACTTTATTCTGCTGGTGCATTTTTAGAGATGTGCAGCTTCTCCTGGTGTAGCTCTGTAGCTCTCCTCTTCCTTCTCAGGTGGTTCAGAGGGTAGCTCATCAACTCTAAGTCCTCGGATGACTGTTTCTAAACTCTGGGAACCATGAGGTTTTCTGAAAAGATTCTTTGGCCCACCTCAGTGTAATGTGGGCTGGACCTCTGCAGTACCTGCAGGTCAGCAAGCGTCTGACTGGGCTGAGCCCTCCTAGGTCCGCCTCACTGTGCATGAGCAGAGATGTAGCCTTTACCTACTTCCTGCAAGCATAGTGAATGCAGCTTTTCCTGGTAAAACAAAGATTTGAAAGAAACCCCTTTCAGCCAGTTAACTGTAGTTAACAACCTGGGAGCGGAGAGAGTTTGACTATGGGGTGTCTGGGCCGCATCTCAGGGTGGGGAAGCACCTGCCCATGGTTCTTGGGTCTGGATTTGATGTAACCGTAAGGATCCCAGTGTTCATTTTGTTGCTCAGGTCGTCAGTATTAACACTTTCCCCCATTTTGATCATGTAACTGGAGCTGGTGGGGGCTGATGTTTAGATTTACAGCACCTGCTATGAGGCACAGCCTGAACTGAGTCAGCAAATCTGTTTCACTTGGCTCATTAAATAGTAATGCAAGTGATTGTATAGGTGTGGGACATTGGAGTTCTCAATTATAATAAGCTTGCTTATTTATTTATTTATTATTTCTTGATGGTTTCACTGTGTGTAGCCCAGGCTGCTCTTGACTTCTGGATCCTCTCGGGCTCAGCCTCCTGAGTGCTGAGATTACAGGCATATGCTACCACACCAAGCTTATGAAGTGAACTAAGTATCGGCAGGAAAAAACGGCTCATTGTCTTTCTCAGCTACGTAAGGAGTTCAAGGCCAGCCTAGACTACCTGAGACCTTGTCTCAAAGACATGATGGCTCAGTAGGTAAAGATGCTTGTTGTCATGCTGGACATCTGAGTTCAGTTCCCAAGACTCACAGGGTGCAAGGAGAGAAGCTTTCCTGCAGAAGTCCTGTGGCTTCCACACACACCGGTACACACAAAAATAATGTTTAAAAACAATAACAGAAAGTAACAGATAAGCCCTTCCAGATCTAAGCGGCTTATTTTATGACTTTTTTTTTGTATAATAAGCCTGGATGTGAAGAAGGTAATGGCAAAATCCATAAAAAGTCAACTTAAGAGCCGCTTGGAATATATTTCAAACACACACAGCTACTAATGGACACGTGACCAACGATTAATGAGGTAAAGTATTAGGAGATGAACACTACAGGGAGGGAGTCATCAAAGGGCATGAACATTGTTAACAAAATAAATAAAATAGCCAGCAGACAGAAAAATGTTTAACCTAACTTGAAATCCAGTATGAAAATTAAATCTAGAACATTGCATAATGTTATCCTATCAGGATTTTAAAAATGAACCATTAGCATTGAAGCGAAGTAAGACTGTGGAAACCAGTGTGTTCTTGTGCATTGCCAGAGACTGTGGAAACCAGTGTGTTCTTGTGCATTGCCAGAGACTGTGGAAATCAGTGTGTTCTTGTGCATTGCCAGAGACTGTGGAAATCAGTGTGTTCTTGTGCTTTGCCAGAGGGTGTGGAAATCAGTGTGTTCTTGTGCTTTGCCAGAGGGTGTGGAAATCAGTGTGTTCTCATGCATTGCCAGTGACTGTGGAAACCAGTGTGTTCTTGTGCATGGCCAGTACAGACTTCACTGTTAGTTCCAGGGGTGTTTTACTGACATTCAAATACTGTTATACAAGTCTGTATTGCTATAGAGTCATGCCTTTTAGAATATTTTAAGAGAAAATTATATCTAAGTTTATGGTTGCTTAGTAGAGACCTGAGGTAAGGCTTTTTCACTTTAAAGCCGTTCACGGTTTGAATATTAAGTGTTCTGTACATTTTTCCTATTACAAATAGACTACTACCAAAATTAACTCTACCTCCAAATATATAAAGAAAAAATTCTAAGTTCAGCAGTGTTAGAAATGATTAAAATGTACATGGCTAGCAGGTCAGTGTTCTCTAGTACACGTGTACATGCGTGATTATGTATCTCTGTATGGTCAGAACAAAAACATAGCATTACTTTATACAGACTGCATCTAAACAAACAAAATCTGTACAAAAGGCAAATGCACAGACAAGAGCAAAGATCTATATAGTAATAATTTTTAATACATCTAAATTTGAGCAGTCCCATGCCCGTGAAACTGAACAAGTTCAAAAGAAAACCACGGAAGGCAATTTTGTAGTCTTGATCACCAACTTTACCTTGTGATTATTTAAAACCTGGTGTCCCCCCATGGGAGTTTTAGATGTAGTTACGGATTCGCGTTAAGATTTTCTGTGCCATCCTGCAACTTTGCAAGAGAAATACTGGCGTCAAGCATAGCAGTCAGGACACTGGGAGCGTCTCCATGCCTGGGACAGGCTTCATCCCAGAGAGCAGGACCACAGCTCACTGGGAAGAAAATATTCCTAAATTATGTTTTGATCAAAAGATCTGTAATCAAATTTGTATTTTCAGTTGAACTAGGGAACTTCATTACATATGCACTAAATAAAAGTTATAAATGATTTGTAAAGCTAAAATTTATCTTTCTAGATTGTTTTATTCAGAAATTCTTAATACTTAGTGCAAGTATATTTTATTACCCTGTCTCTTAATGAAATTAAGGCCAAGTGAAGTGTTTCATTCAAAATCCTAGAGCCAGAAAGCACTAAAAGGTTTTAGGTTTTATTTTGAGTACATTAACTATAGGTCAACAAACCTTCGAAAATAATGCAAAGCTTTATAGGTAAATACACTTTTAATGTGTGTTCATCTTTCTTTTCAGAATTACCATGAGGTCATGACTCGTCATCCGGAGAATTATCAGTGGGAAAATTGGAGTCTAGAAAATACCGCCGCCATCCTGGCCCGCCGTTTTCCCAACAGCTTCATCTGGGTGGTCAAGTGCTCGCGGATGCACCTGCACAAATTCAGTTGCTATGACAACTTCGTGAAAAGCAACATGTTTGGCGCACCTGAGCACGACCCGGACTTCGGAGCCTTTAAGCACCTGTATATGTTATTAGTTAACGCTTTCAGCTTAACTCGGAATGGCTCGCTGTCCAAGACGAGGAGTATTTGGAATAAGGACTGTAAAGCAGCTAACTGTGAGTCTAATCCTTCTACCTCTCGTAATGGTGGCCAGGAGGAGAACGAGAGGACCCGTGGGAATGCTGACGAGGCCGCTGTGAGTTTTGCTCCGCTGTCGCTGAATGGCGCCTCCTTCACTTTGGTTGGATTCAGTAAAGGCTGCGTAGTTTTGAATCAGTTGCTGTTTGAGTTGAAGGAGGCCAAGAAAGACAAGAACATAGACACTTTCATCAGAAGTATAAGAACAATGTATTGGCTGGATGGTGGCCATTCTGGGGGGAGTGACACTTGGGTCACATATCCCGAAGTCTTGAAGGAACTTGCTCAAACCGGGATTACTGTCCACACCCATGTGACACCTTATCAGGTACAGGATCCAATGAGATCCTGGATTGGCAAGGAGCACAGGAAATTTGTTCAGATCCTTGGGGATCTGGGCGTGCAGGTGACTAGCCAAATTCATTTCGCAAAGGAAACTCCCTCCATAGAGAATCACTTCAGGGTTCATGAAGTGTTCTGAGACCTAGCGTGCTTCCTCAGCGGGAAAACTGCGTCCTTTGTCATGATTACAGGTGACACAATGTCAGGGTAGTTAGATGCATTGTCAGCGTGTGGGCTAAGAAGATGAACATTCCAGAACTCTTGAGTGTCTTACACGGTAAGGACTCCTTGCTTGTACATGTGGGCAGCTTTAACTTTGGATTGGATCAGAATTAATTTGAAATCCAGAAGGGTCGTGTGTGATAATTCTATGTCCTTTGAAAACGGAAGAAACTTGGTGTTAGTCTTTTTAAAAGGCAACAGTGTTTACGTTGAGAACAGCCAATCTTTTGAGACCTCTTCTCTACTAACGTTGGTAATAACAGCAGTTCAGCCGTTGATCAGATGTTTCATTCTTTCTCTTTCCAAGGGTCCTGGGGAAGACTTGCACCCTACATCCTTCCTCCCAGGAAAGTTTTGTGAGCCCCTGAACTCATTCTCAGTTCTCCCAAGTGTTCGGGTTTTTTGTTTTTGTTTTTTAAAGTTAAAATATATTTATTCCCGCATATCCCAGATCATAGAGTTGTACAGTTGGTTTTTAAAACATAACAGACTAAGCACTGTAACTTAATTCTTAATTGACAGATTTTAATTATGTTAGTTTGCTGTCACAAGGAGACAGATTCTACAGACCTAAATCAGTGTTTCTTCAGAAGCATGGTTTTGTCTGCCAAGAGAAAATAGCTTTCTTTGGCCAAATGTAAAATTACATTGAGATAAGAAAGGTTACAAAGGAAAGTTTGAAGACACAAATAATTTAAATTTTGGCCCAGAAACTGAATTTGCTTAACACTGCTACATAATTTGGGTGAAGTTTCCTTCTGCCCATTTTTCTTTACTAGATAAATGCATTTTGGAAAAAAAAAATCTAACGAATTTCAAGCAGTACTGGAACAAAGCTGTGTGGCTATTGAAAGTGGCACTTTTTATTTATGAATAAATTTGGTTATTCCATGACCTCTAAAGTGTTAACAAATAGGGAAATAACATGCTGCTTTGGGATCGACAAGAAAATGTATCCTAAAGCGCAGTGTTAGTCTGCAACATGTTAATTTCTCGATCTCTTCCAGAATTACATTTAAATCACTCTCTCTTCCCAGTATTCACTCAGGCCAGATGTTTGGGATGAATGTAGTTCTGTCGACGGCAGATGAGTGTCTACGCTTTCTCAGTAGTTGTCTTTTGTTTCACTGTGAATGTCTTTTGAGACTAGCTCTTCCCACAGTTGACTAAGTCACCTGGTTCTACCGTCTCGCGCATTTCCTTAACTTAGAGCCCTGCGATCGGATGACTACATTCAACTTGTTTAAGCATCGTCAAAGGTACCACTCAATGTAGAACAGCTGAATTCGAACGGGTCATATGGAGGGAAGGCTTGTCTCGGTCCTTCAGTCTCCACTCGTGGGAGTGTTCCATTGTTGCGGTGAAGTGGACATTGATCCGAGGGACACCTAAAACTGCCATGGCCTCTGGAGACAGTGTTGAGTAGTACGCATGCTTCGCAGTGGAAATGGTTGTTTGTCCCCACACGGGCATTTCTGTGTAAAACTACAGATTCGTCCTCTTCCACATCGGTTTTAACTCTGTATGCGTTAAATCTGTTACTGTAAATGTGGGTCCTACTTGACTGTGCCTTTGTAAAGTCACCGAGAGAAGCGGTCCTAGAAATGTGAACTTTGTTCCCACCACAGCATGGATGTAAACCTGTATTAAAAATAGTAACCCACGGAAAGGTCGTTTGGATGTGTTTGTCCACCTTGCTACTGTGTCTGCTTCGACTTCCCTGTCTTTTCCAGGCGAAGAGCTGTCCTTCCACTGAGTACACCCGTCAGCTGCTCCGTAACTGTCCGTAGGACACTAGAGGAACTCCTAAAACCTCTCCCTTTTCTTTGCTGCTCACCTTAGCTATCTATACCCTTTATCCCCATAAACGACTGTTAGAGTATAGTGTGGTTCACTTCATTTCATTTCTGCAGTGCCCAAGCACCCGCTTAGTCTAAGGAGAATCTAAGCCACAAGGATCTAACAAGTCCCAGCAACAACTTGTTAGCGGTGAGACAACAGAACAGACCAGAATTTAGGAAGGAACATCTTATACAAAGTATCCCATTCCAAGTCCTCTTAGAGGAAGGTGGATTAAGAAACAAGGTAATGATCTCACGTGTGACTCACTGCTGTAACTGAAGTGGACTTTGCAGTTCTCAGTGATGGAGACAGCGTCTCCTGGCATGTTTAAGAAACCCAGTGATGACTTCCGCAGTTGAAGCAAGGTTAACACCAGAGTGCCAGCCTGTAGTTCCTCTTGACCCACCTGCCAACCAGCACTGGAGGAAGGAGTCACCACAGCCCGCCTTTCACCTCCCCGAACGACCTACCCTACTGCACACCTCCTAAGAGTTAACGTCAGCTTTTTGTAGGTAAGTAGATGTGTCTTGTTATTGGTTCTGTGTAGATGTTCACATAACTGCTTCAAAAGGATAAAAGAAACCTAGCCTTGCTGACTGTCTCTTGGTATTTCGTATACTTTGAAATCATGGAGTACCTGCTCTTCATGACCTGGGCCAAGACAAATACTGAATCATGCAAAGCTAACAGTGTTGAAATGTTTTTTAACACGACGTACAAAGTCACAGGTGTGTCTCCCACGGCCACTCGGCCTCATCTCAGCAGCTGCTGTCACTAGGTTGGCTGTGTACCCAGCAGAGCTAATCCTGTCTATGTAAACGTTTACAGAGCACACGCTGTACAAACGGCGGCGGTCTAAAGGTTTTTGTGTAATTAAACTGGACGAATTCGATGCCAACTCGTATCCGGACTCCTTGGTGGCATATTTTGTATATATTCTGCCATCCTCCAATTGACTGTTGCTTTCATTTATGTTCATATCTGCGTCTAGTAAGCTGTATATTTGCTTGGTTGGGAGACAATGAACTCGTTCAGCCCTGGACCAGCTGGAAGGATGGGGTGTGACTCATGGCCACCACCACCACTGTAATCTGTTTCTGTAGCCACTCAGTTAACCAGAATTGTCTCTGCACTCCAGGGTGATTCTGTGATTTCTAACGCACATCCACTCAACAGTTAAGTATTTTGAATCCACTGAATTAGTTAATGTATATGTTATTCACTTGGTCCTAAACCAAAAGATGAAAACATCTTTATTTAAAAATATGAGGAGAATTGACTGAAAACTCAAAAAAGGATTCATTGTAGTGCTGTAGACTTCAGGAGGAGCTAGCAAGTCTTAGGGGAAGACGGATGACTAGCCTCAGTCAGGTGCTGGTCCTTACCTGACTTTGTAGACTGTGTTATAATTGCTGCACTTTCAAGGTGAAGAACAGATCCTCCAGTTCCCTCGGCTCCTAACAAGGTTCTGTGTAGGTCGGTTTGGTTCTGGTGACAGCTTTTCTAAGTGCTGGGTCTGAACCCAGGTACCTGTGCTATGTGCGTGCTCTACCACCGCGTGTTCCCAACCCTCTATTACTGGTTAGTTAACTCAGAGCTAACTAAATACTGTGACAAGTCAGGGCTCACATCTTTCCCTTTCTGAGAGAATAAGTCAGTACTTTGCTCAGGCTAAGAAGATGAAAAAAGAATCTGATAATTAGATGTGGCTAGTGTACAGCGTACTAAAACATTTTTTCCAGTACACATTTCACCTTTGCTCATCTCAGTAATTTCAGCTTTACTTCCAAAGATGACTAGGAAAAGTCATGATTCTTTCATACTTTTCCTTTCTTTGTTCAATGCCTGAAGTTACTCCAGCTCTAAACAGGGCACCGGTGGATGAGCTACCTTCAACAGTAACGGTTTCCTCTGTAATTAAAATGTGTTTAATTGATGGGCTCGGATTACTTTAGATGGACACGTGTACATTAAAGACCATTGTTCTTCAGTGGCACTGAGTAATGGCCATAAAGAATAGCACGCACACAAATGGGTCATTATCTCCAGAGATTACATCTGTGGGCTTCCTCACCCGTCCAGCTATTGAAGTTTAGATGTAAATATTAACTAAAAAGAGACAGACAACTAAATATTAACTAAAAAGAGGCCAGGGTCAGACGAGATACTTGTTTTGGACAAATCCCAGAACTCATGATCTACCACACCATCAAATGTGTTCACCGTTAGCACCCTGTAAGCTTTACTAAGTATCTAACCCGTTCTGTTCTCTCATACACTTCCTGTGCCTCTGTTTAATTTACAGCGTGTGACGACAGGCTCACTGACGGACAGGCTAAGCCACTCAGAGCATTAAGGCCATGGGCTTGGTAGGGAATGCTGGAAAGCGGCTGCGTGGAAGAAGCCTGTGGATTCCGGCCAGGCGACTTCACTGCATACAAATGAAGACACACAAGGCCCCAGCTGCTACTGGCAACCATCCAGGACCACGAGGGCAGCTAGACCTAGGATGATGCCAATCCTGCGGCTGAAAGAGGGGGTGGGGGCGGGGCGAACAAAGGTTTCTGGTGGACTAATAATCACTGCGAAACCAGGGGTCATTCCACCAGCAGACTTCATGTAGTGATTCAATACATTTTTTATTAAGTAGGAATTTACTTCTTTACGTCTTAGAACTGAAGAATGGTTCCACTAAGCACTGTCAGCCTGTACCAAGTAGAAATCAGATATGCATCTCCTTTCATACCACAGATCTGAGACTGATTTATCCAGTTTTTAAAAAAAGCATCTTTAAATGTTTATATATTATAGTTCTTGAGCTGATTTTTATTTATTTTTAAATTTTTACTACAATTAGTTCATTTTTCTTTTACTCCAAGTTCTTGCTGTAGGCTTTGTCTTGAATACGTAGGACCATTTGGCGTGCATAGAAGTCCCTGTACTCCTCTGGTAGTTCAGCCAGTGTTTTCAAAGCTCTGTCCAAGATTTGCACAGCTCTGGACGCGGCCACAGGGTCTTTGTTGCCATAGGTGTCTGTTCTGTCATAGCATTCTGATGGAAGGTGCTTCCAAAAGACATTCACTCCGACTCCAAACGCCTCAGAAGTCACATTATGGAACCATAAAGCTGTACAATGGGTTTTTTAAAAAAACAAGTTAAAAATAAAACTTACAGTTAAAGAACAAAACAACAAATGTCAGTGAAATATCACGACTGCACAGAGAGGCTCCTGGGGCTCACAGATCCTGCTTTCAGTCAGAGTCACGAGCACAGCCCTGTTCTAAACCCCTCAGGGATTTTCATTCTCCCCACCTAGCTTGAAAGACACAATAAAGTGTATTTGCTTTGCATTCTCTGACTGGGGCAGGCTTCTGGGTTACATGTTTACACTTCCTGACGCATACAATCACATCAGAACATGGAGTGTTTTGTACACAGAGCATGTTAGTTATTTGAAGACCATGCCTGGTCCTTGGTGATTCAGTTCCGTACTTGTTTTCAAAATCTTCCTGTTCCAGAGGCAGTCTAGTCCCCTGACTTGAGGTAGCACACACCGTGGCTTCAGGTTTTAGATTCTAAGCCACGTAGATCCAGTCCTTTACCATAACTATGGAAACCACAGTCGGCCCTTTGGTGGTGAAGAAGAAACCTGACCACACTAGCAAGTTTACTGTTTTCCACTAACATCTTCACAATGTACACGCTCTAAGAGCATTAAAGAACACCTCCATGTAGCAGATGGGGCGCTAACCATGCCAAAGTGTTCAGTCTTATGAAGGAGGGTTTAAATCTTAGAGACACTTGTTCTAGGAGTGTTCATGGAAAAACAGTAATTTATAAAAGTCGTCTTCAACATTTGGTTTTAATTATAAGGTCTTTCAGAATATTCACTTGTTAATATACCAGAAAAATCTAACCATTCTGATAGGTAAATCTAAAGATGGAAATCTTGTTTTACATTAAAATATATGCAAATACTTAATTTCTAGATAAAATGAATATAGAGTAAGAGAAAACTACATAGCTCTAATCATGTTCTAAATACACAAAAAACAAATTTAACTTATTAAATGGCAATAGACTTTAGATAAAGGAGTAGCTGCTGAAAAAAGTACGGTGCTAAGTCAGTGCATCACGGCCCCGACCAGACGTGTGAAGGGTGCTGTCTTGGAGGAGTACAAAGACTAGCAAGGACGTGGTTCCTGACGTTCACGGGACCTACAATCTACTCTCAAGTATGTCACCTGACTTTCACTGGTTATAGATGTTTCAAAAGTTAATACTATCACTGAATATATAGTTTATGAACTACAAACTTATGAATTACAGCAAATAGAATTCCACAAGGAACCTTGGTCAATAAACCCCATTACTTAGGGTCTTTATAAATTTTAAGGTATGCACGTAAATATTAATTACAGATAATAACTATCACCATAGCTACTAACATGGAAATTTTATGAGCATCCAAATTAATGTTTATTGAAACTGTATACAGAAAAGTTTTCAGATGTTGATATTATATTTTGATATTAATAAAAATTTTATAATCTTAGAAAATATTTGCCATTTCTAAAATACCTATATATTTTAGAAATAAAATTATTATTATTATTTCTTTTTTTTTGGATTTTCGAGATAGGGTTTCTTTGTAGCTTTTGGTTCCTGTCCTGGAACTAGCTCTGTAGACCAGGCTGGCCTCGAACTCGCAGAGATCCGCCTGCCTCTGCCTCCCAAGAAATAAAATAATTTTTAAAAAACAACCAGGTACAACCTTTTCCCAGATATAAGGTATATTAACACACACGGAACAGCCTACTACATCCCTAGACAAGATGGTACAGCCTTGTGCAGCAGCAGTTCACTGTCCTGAAGACGGGAGGCAGCTGTGATCCCATGATAAGCACCTGTACATCTAGACAAACACAGCAAACACACTGGTGTGCTCTAGAGGCCTTACCAGGAATGAAGAGAACATCACCGGCTTCCAGGGAGCACTCGTACCTCCGCGCCTTCGGGAAGAGTGGGTATTTATCTAGGTCTGGGCTGTCAATATTCAGCACTTCTGACTTAGAACCTAGTTCCCAAGAGAGATGACACAGATTGAACCAAGTCCGCACTGTTTAAAAAGTAATCACAGATATAAACTTGAAACTCTTTAATTATTGTATTTACATCGTGAGAACTAACTATTCTTCTGAAGCCTAAGATAATTTTCAGTGACCATTCTTTATACAAGACAACCAACATCCATCATCCATGCAATCCAGTGAAATAATCTGAAACCTTTCTGTGGTTTTCTGAGACAGGGTTTCTCAGCCCTGGCTGTCCTGGAACTCACTCTATAGACTAGGCTGGGCTAGAACTCACAGAGATCCACCTGCCTCTGCGCTCGAGTGCTGGGATTAAAGGTGAGCACCACCATGCCTTGTCTTGAGACTCATTCTTTATACTGCCTGTTGTCACTCACACACACAATGGAGACCACACCCTAAAGTGTGGTCTTCCTACATTATTAAAAACAACAGAATAAACTGTAGAAACAAACTCAAGCCATACCTGATAAATATAAGTAGTGTGCATCTCGAGGACTGAACAGTGTGACTCGCTTCTTCCCTGTCACTTGTATTAAAAAGTTATCCATTACCTAAAGATCAATGAGATTTACATGTGAGCAGTATCTACAATTAGTCAACGGAGACAACAGCGCTCTAAAGAGTTAACTTCAGCATCTACAATTAGTCAATGGAGACAACGGCACTCTAGAGTTAACTTCAGTGTCTACAATTAATCAACAGGGCCAATGGCACTCTAAAGAGTTAACTTCAGCGTCTACAATTCAAGTCAACGGACACAACGGCGCTCTAAAGAGTTAACATCAGTATCTACAATTAGTCAACGGACACAACGGCGCTCTAAAGAGTTAACTTCAGTATCTACAATTCAAGTCAACGGAGGCAATGACAATCTAAAGAGTTAACTTCAAACCTCATTCTTTCCTTTTCTCTTTTTTTATTGGGAGGGGGTCCACAGGGTCTCACTATGTTGCTCAAACTGGACTTCTGATGCTCCTGCCTCAGCTTCTGAGTAGCTGGGATCACAGGCATGTGTCACTGCATGTAAAACCCTATCCCTTCTGTGAAATTCAGCCCACATAAAACCCTTACAGTCATAACTGAATCCTAGTAATGAAAAGCTTGTGTTCCATGCACTATGTCTTTATTGAGGACACTTCCCCATGTTTCTGAACATGGGAAAGACCAGCATTAGGAAAACAGGAAGTAGAATAAGAACGTCCATGTACCTGCGCTGCCCTGGATTAAGGTTTGTCTTTTAGGTTATCGAGCTGTGCCCTGGGCCAAGCAGAAATCATTCCTGCAGCTGCTGCTGACCTCTGCAGACGTGTCCACACACAACGTGGTCATCAACACCGCGATTGTGAGACTATTGTACAGGCCTCCCATGAGGCAAATTCCCACATTGTACTTTCCAATGAACCGAGGCTGACTCTCCCTGAGCATACAGACGGTGCCCTCTCTTGGTGCAAGACGTGTGTCTGGTCATCATATATTAATTATCAACTGAACATTTCTTCTTTCAGCACGAAACCTTTACTTAGCAAACTAATTCTGTAAAATAATTACTATTCCTCTGACTTTTTTTCTTTTTTTTTAAGTTTTTCAAGACAGGGTTTCCCTGTGTAACAGTCCTGGCTGTCCAGGAACTCGCTTCTGCTTGCCTCTGCCTCTCAAATGCTGGGATTAAAGGTGTGTGCCACGACCGCATGGCTCCTCCTCTGATTTATTTTTAAGACAAGCATTATGTAGTCTATTGTGACTCAAGGTCAAAGGAAACTACTTAAAATTTAAAGCACGATCAATAACGTTAAAAATACATGAAGCACATTATTTTCTCACCAATCATTCAAGCAGAACTTTTAAAATATGCTGAGATTCCATGTTTGTCTCATCTAATTATAGAGTTACTATCCTGAAATCCCCTGTAAGTTCTAAATGTCCTAGACGAAGTATGCACATGCCCTAACAGTCTGGCATGCTGCCACATGCTTGAATTCCTGCCAGCTGGGAGGCAGAGAAAGAAAGCTCTGAGGTCATTCCAGTCAGTGCTTCAAAATGTAGCTCCCGTTTCAACACAGCAAAAGTCTACGGAAACGCAACAGGTGTTACAGTTTCCCGTTTCTCCAGCCGCCAACACCGAACGACACACAACAGCACTTAAAATCTGCCTACTGTACTTACAAATACAGTCAGCAGATAGCCAACGAGAAGACAGAAGCAAGATCAAAGTCTGTACACCCTGCTCATGTACAGACGAGCAAACAGTTCGTGTTCTCTAGAGGTACATATCCTAAGGCCTTGAGGGACCCCAAATTCTTACTCTTGCAAACCATTCCCCACAGTTTCTTCCTTTCACCTAAGTAAGGATTTGGATGGCAGTCAGGGGATTCACTGAGACGCCGTGTTCCCACATCTTCCCCCGCTAAACCACGACCCATCTCATAGCTACAGTAAGAACCTGACCACAGAGGAAGATGTAGGACTAGGCTTTGCTCCAGCCGACACCACGGCACTACTGTCCCGCAGACTGCTGACTCTCAGCTCCATGTTCCCTCAGCGGCAATGCTCAGGTCTCTAACGGGGCCGGTAAAGCTCAATCTGTGAATGTCAGACCCGCAAGAGCAGCAGGTGTCTGAACCTTTCCATTTCTTATTCTGTAATTTACGCACATCGTAATGAGTCCAGAGCTGCAGGCCAGGTGAACTGATTCGAAAAACACTGGAGAAGAACTGCTCCTCTTTGAAGAACGCTGGGAACTTAATATCTCCTCCTAGGGAGGGAAACTGCTGTCGGACATCTGCAACATCCTGCATCAACAGACACACAACATTTAGATTACAAACAGTATCTGGGAAGGATTTCAACAACAGCACTGTTGGTGTGATGGTTCCTGGAAGGACGAAAGAGGCAGTGACGCCCTCCCCCTCCCCCAGGGCTGTTCAGCCTGTGTCTCAGCACTCCTGTGCTGTCACATCAGAAGTCACAGCACGTGATGTTCCTAACAGTAGCAAAGTTACAGTCACGAAGTTGCAACTAAAATCATTTTATGGTTGGGGCCAGCACAGCATCAGGAAGGTTGAGAGCCGCTGCTCTAACCTTTCTAGTGAAGGAGAAACTGACTTAAGCATCACTGCTGTCAGCTTCAATATAGGTAGTGAGATTCTTTTGTGTTTTAATAAACCTTGTCTGAGGATCAGAGTGCAGAGCTAAGCCACTAGAGGCCAGGCAGTGGTGGCTCACACCTTTAATCCCAGGACTCAGGAGACCTCTGTGAGTTCAAGGTCATCCTGGACTACTTGGGATTGCTCCAGTCTCAAAGAGAAACAGCCGGAAGGTGGGGGCCCACAGCTTTAATCCCAGCACCAGGGAGGGGGAGACGGGAAGTGACATGGCTGGGCGGAGAGGAATGTGAAGCGGGAGGGGACAGGAGCTGGGATGCAGTCTGAGGATTACAAGGACAGGACGCCCCTCAGTCTGAGCACTGGTACCAGAAAGAACTCCCTGGTGGCAGGCTGCACCGCATCTCTGACCCTCGTATCTGACTTCAGGCTTTCATTACTAACACAACTAGAATCTGTGCTATAAATACCCTCACTAACACAGACTCACTAGCACTTTCAGCAAGAGTCACAGAATGCATGTCTAGTCTAGCCTTATAGTTTGACTCTGAATACATAAAGGCTCATGTAATGAATCTTCGGGACTCTTAGGTAAGTACTGTATTAGCTAAACGGCCATCTGTAAGCTATATAGCAGTAGGGACTCTTATTGCATAGAAATTAGATGACAGATTTTACAGTCCTGAATGACTAAATATCATCTTTAAAGATTCCTCAATCAGGGACACAAATTATTAAAGAAACCAAAAAAGATGAAACGGGTTACAGTGTGAAGATGCTCACGGACATTTTAAGTAACTGCTTTAAACCACAATTCTTACCTTCCTCGGGTCTTCTCCAAGTGACCGCAAGTAGTATTTCTCATCCTAAACATCCCAAAGAATAGCATCAGTATTGATTAAAAAACAGTGAGAGATAAGAAATGGAGTAAATCTTAAAATAGGACAGAGTCAAGTCATGTAAAAATTCAATTATCTTACCCTTCCTACTGATGCCCCCTGGTGGCCACATAAAGGAACGTTTTTATATGCTGCTCAGGACTGGATCTAAAGGCAGCAGAAGCACGCGTGAAGCCACCGATTAACTGGTACTTCAATGTACACTGCTTTAACATTTGGTAAACCAAATGTGAATCCAACAAACAACTTCTTAATACAACTAAGAAACGAGATAAAAACCTTATGCTGGGCGGTGGTGGCGCACGCCTTTAATCCCAGCACTCGGGAGGCAGAGGCAGGTGGATCTCTGTGAGTTCGAGGCCAGCCTGGTCTACAAGAGCTAGTTCCAGGACAGGAACCAAAAAAAACTACAGAGAAACCCTGTCTCGAAAAATCAAAAAAACAAAACAAAACAAAAAACCCTTATCCTTTAGCACATTAAAAATAACAAAAAACCAGGGAGACTGTATTACACCAGACCATCCCTAGCCCAGCAACCGGCATTCTCCCACCGCAACCTTAGGGTCAACTCATGCATGACTTAGAAGAGTGGAATTACATACGAAGTTTTAAAGTCAGCATTTACACTTGTGACGACTGATTAGCTACAGAGAACGGATTATAGATCGGTCACTGCAGGGCTGGGGCTGTAACACCCAGCGCTGTGTGCATTTCCCAGACTGAAAACTGAGACCTAGCAGGTCAAGTAAGGCACGACACACTCCAGAGCGCTGCCTTCCAGAAACCAATGCAGGTGCGTGAATTTGATATTTAACTCACAAATAACAGCTTTGCTGTTCTCACATTTTTGGTGCCACACTGAAATGATCCTTTAGCTAGACTTCAAAGCATGTTCTTCAAAATCTGAACTGTCACTCAGCAAAGAGGCACGGCTAGCCGCTTCATCAAGAAAGGGCTCTTTGCTTATCTGCAAAGAATGCATCTAATTTGGGGCTGCAGCTGCCGATTTCGTCAGGTTCACCTTAGCACCTGACGCAGGGTCACACTCTGCACACAGGACAGAGCCAAGCAACAACCAAAGAAGATGGAAAGTGGTCTGGAAGCTGCCATCTATGCAGGACCCCTCTAACAGACAATGTTTGCTCAGGGTTCCGCGAAATGGCAGACCATCAGGTATGTATAGTTGTGTCTAATGGACACATGGGCCCGTGCACATGCACACGTGCACACACAAAACACACACACACAATCCATTTAGTATATGTCTATTAAAGGTTTCTAAAAAATTACCTCTGAAATAAAGAATTCTTTATGCGTTTCTTCGGCTGCTCTCTGGACCAACTTGTTAAACGGTAAAGTTCTGAAATAAACACAACAGAAACCTGAGACATAAAAATAGCATACCAACTAGCAATACCATCATGATGCACACAGGCTTGGCGCAGTTGGGCGCCATGAGCTTTGAAATACCCAGTTTTTAGTATAATCCATGTCAACAGAATTCTGAATATTCAAAATTCATTTAGAGGTATATAAATTTGACCTGTTACCTGAAAATTTAGTCTTAAAAATTTAAAATTTATGGTTCAGATGGCTCTTCAAAGGTCAACATCCTTCTTCACAAGTCACTGAGGGATGCTGCCACTGTAACAGACTGGGCTGAAGAGCGGGATCAGCATAAGAGCACTTGGTCCTCCTGAGGACAACGTGCACTCAGCTCCCAGTGCCCACATGTGTGGCTCAAACCGTCCATAACTCCGGTTTCAGAGGATCTGTGGCCCTCCTCTGGCCTCCATGGGCACCTGACACAGATGCAGGCAACTCATCCACATACAATCCAAGTAAAGTCATAAACTAAAATACACGAACTTTGAGGTTCTGATTGCCACCTGTCTTTATGTGCCAGGGCCAAATTAATCTGGTCAATGGGACAACCATAGCCTCTCACTAGTATTGAGGAGTAGTGAGATTACTGGTGAGGACACTCCAGCCCCGCTGGTGCCTGTCACCTCCTCAGCACAGGAGGGGCAGTGCTCTCTCAGCTCCTGCTTTCCCTGCCGTCTTATGGCTTCTGGAGAAAATGGCTGGACATTCTAGAAACAATGTGTGCTTCCATTACCACACTCTTCAAGTCAGAGAGTTATCCTTGCTCTACTCATCCGAGTAACTAAAAGCACTTCCTACATGGAGCTCAGGGGCAGAAGGCTTCCTAGTTCCATTCTCCAGTCATGATGATGCTACTGTATCAGTAGCCAACAAGGAAATCCTCCCAAGCTTGTCCTCCAGTCCCTAACTGGGAATTTGTCCATCTCTTCACCAAGGATATGCGGGGGAGGAGGAGGGAGAATGTGAATTCTCCTCCATGAGGAGCTGACCTTGGGCTAGCTAACGTCCCCTAGTACTGCTCTTTCCCTAGAAACACACGGAGTACGGATGAAGGTTTAATCTTAGCTAAAATACCAGGCATCACAGTTTACTGGACTAGAAAGTGGTTTTCCTGGGTACAATGTGTGAATATGCCCCCATGGCCTATTTCAAGTCACTAGCTTTGGGGGACACTGGCCTAAGCTGGGGTTGTGTTTCAGTACACCTCCACGGTCTTGTTCTAACTAAGCTGCCACTGGTTGACAAAAATGCCTCTGGAACCACACAATTCACTGATAACATTCTCCCAATATGCTGCTTCCTGCCTCGTGTTCTGTCACCCCGGAGAGCGGCTCCTGTGGGTGTGACGTCAACCTGAGCAGAGGCTGCAGAGAACGCAGGAAGGAACCAGTCCACCACGTACTGAGACCCACGCAGGACCCTGTCTCTACTCCAGCCTCTGGTCTAGCGTTCAGCAAACTTCTCGTCACTCTCCTATTCAAGGCTCCTACCAAAGGTTCACCATACACTCACCATTCAGACCTGGAGGCTGCTGTGCCCAGCTACCTGTGTAACTGCTGCACTGCCCACAGTAGCTTCTAGGAAGAACAATGAATGCTTGGAACTTCTTCCCCAAAGCAGCACAGACCAGTGACCCTGAAAGAGCAAGATAAAGCAGCTCCGAGCTGTCTATCTGCCCACAACCAGCCCTACAGAGCAGCTGGGAACTCCTAAGCCTGAGGCTTTCTCTGTCCCGCCTGTTCTAAGCAGAAGGTCTTCTATTACAGAGCCTCTTCTCAGGACCAGCCCATAAAACAAAAAGACAGTATCAGAGAAGGCTTCTCATGGATTCTGGGATGAGCAAATCTGAATATACATCCTGGGTTTTATCATTTTAAACCGCACAATCTCAGACAAATTGTTTAATATTTTAAATTTAATTAAATATTATTACATACATTTCTTTGTGTGGGGGGGCCTGGATGTGTGGGTGGGTGTATTCACACCATGGCGCGTGTGTAGAGGTCACAGGACAACTTGCAGGAGCCGGAATTTCTACCACGTGTCCAGGGCATTGGACTCAGGTCACACTAAAGTGACAATATGCACTTTATCCTCTGAGCCATCTTATGAGGCCCAAGGGACGTTTTTAAAAACCTTCATTTCTCATCTGTAAAATCACTATAAGCAATATCTACATTAGACATCTTATAGTTTAAGTGGGGAATATAACTTAGTGTTAGCACAATATCTAAGATGCTGTGACAGTGACAATGCACCTTTACAACACACGTTAAAACACCATCACCAGCCCTGAATTTAGCGCCCAGGGGTCTGTTTCTGGAATGGCTGCTTCCTGGAGAGAGACAGTGAGAAGAGGGTGCGGACAGAATCAGGTGCTGCAGTGAGTGGAGTCTCCAGCGTAGCTCACACGGTGCTCCTTCTGAGCATCCTGGCCGGGGAAGGGGCAGGGGCAGCACACAAGCGACAAGGAGATGCTAACGCTAGTGAGTTCAAGCGCGACCTCTGGACAGCCGAGAAAGGATAAGAACAACCAGAACCGACGTGATTACATATCAATACATGTTATGGACATGTTATCTACACGATCCCTGATGTTTCAATATCTCTAGATTAAATTCCTTCTGTACTTAGTAAATGCTAAAACAAAACAAATTAAATTTACTTTTATCCTTGTGCAAAAATATTTTCCCGTTTTTAGTAGCTCTAATTAAAGGCTTTGCAGAAGCTGCGATAGAAATTATTACATAATATATGTGTTTTAAAAGCAAGTTTTGAAAAGTTTAGAGAACATGAAAAAACATCCGAACCATTCGAGATGAAGTTTCAACACCCACTTGCTATGGCCTTTGTCTGGATTGTAAATAATCCTGACCGCAGGTCGAGAAACACTCAGCCCTCCAGTACTTTCCTCCACTTTTTTGACTGAATAAAAAGTGCAAAGTTCTTACACTCGGAAAAACTTACAGCAATTAAGTTCAGTCTGTGGCCTGTTCAGTAATCAGAAACTACAATGGTGAGCGCTTGGCTGGAAACGGAGAAATGCTTTGGCGGTTACTACACAGGCTTGGACCGCACTGGTGAAAGAGGAATGGCCCCGCCACCAGAAACCCCCGTTCAGCTCATCTCTAACTGAATCTGTGAACAATGGGGTCTTTCAGTAGATTTAATTTGCTGGGAACTGCACAAGCTCAGAATGTGAAAGTTGTTTGTTTTTTAATCTACCATTTTTAATGACTCTCGTGGGAATAAACAGCACATGACATCTGCAGGATGACATTTTCAGCTTCCAAACGTAGATGTTCAGTGGCCGATTCACCTGCTAGAGTGCACAGCACACAACCAACATGGAGCTACCGGCACTCGAAGCTCAGCATGGGTTTAAACGCTACTGAATGGAAGACGGTGTGCAGAGACAGAAAGAGATGCCAGCCTGAGACAGCGTCCTGCACTGGGCAGTAAAGACTGGACGAACACCTCACACAACTTGAGGGGCCACCTAACTCCAAGAATAGAAATTCTCTGTTCCATGACTCCACAGGCTACAGGGCGCGCCCTATATTAGAAGAATAAGACTGTGGAGATGTCTCTGTACAGTTATATAAACTCGTAATTCTTGTCTTTTAAGCCACTCATGAAAAAGCAGGAAGCTATTCCCTGATTACATAAACTGGATTAAAGATGAGACGCGGAATGGTCTTACATAATGTCGTAAAAATATTTTCAAAGGTTTAAGAAAGTTATTTGTGTCCCCGGAGTACCCTCAGAAGAAAATACCTATACACAAAGTTCTTACTGATGAAGTCCATCTGTGCGACAGCAGAGACGTGGATCTTCACCTCTTTCGCCCCCCCAGCTCGGCTCAGGTAGTCCACTGTCCATTTGCTTGTACAGGGCCCCAAGTCGAGTCCTTCCAACACAAGGGGCTTCCTCTATAAGGAAGGGAAAAACACAACTGTGAAAACAAACACTCCACGGGGGCTGCCTTGGAGTCAGAGGTTGGCTCTGAGCTGAGCAGGAGCTCCAACTGAAAGCATCTAACAGTTTGTGCTCTGACTCAGACAGGCAGATCACCTGATCACACACCCAGACCAAACCTAAGGTCAGGAAAACAAACAGCCTTGTCAGCAGATAAATTCAAATCTTAAATATTTTCATGTTATTTATGGCAAAATATACTTAAATTTTACTTCGTTTTTGTAGCTTTTAATTTTGCTATCACTTAGCACTTTTGACAACAACGCACGAACATGAGAACGTCCATCTGGTCTACCTGACTCTGCAGTGTGCAGCCCACCTGTGCTATCAGCTGACTCACGGTTCTCCTGAACCACTTCAAAGTGAAATTGTTAATATCACGTCCTCAGTCTGAAACTGAAGCATGTTTTCTGAAAACGGGCTATTCTTTTTCAGAGCAATTACCCAAGATGCATCTCACGCTGACGCTATTATGTAACCACCACACACGTTTAGGTCTCACTAATCATCTCCTTCCTTTCCCTGACCCAGAATCCAGGCTGAGAAGCACTCGGATTCAGGAATCACAGCTCTTCTCATCTGGCTCATCAGCTTTCTTTGTCTTCTTTTCCCAGAATATTTATGAGCACATGGGCCAATAATTTTGTTGGAGTCCCCTGGATTTGGGTTCATCTAGTTTCTTCATGGTTAGATTTTAGGTTATGCAATCTGAGCAAGGACTGTCCCAGAGAGGAATGGAGTAGTCCCCCAGGGCACAAGGGGGCACATGACATTCTGCCTAACATTTACTCAGTCTCTCTTGCCTCCAAGTTTACTGGTATAATTCTAATGCTTAAATCATCACAGATGTTACCAGTAGGTCTCTTTGGATTGGTTCCTGTGACTTTTAAAAACCTCCTTATTTTATAACAAAATAAAACAATCCAGGTATCTTTTTCATTGAGTCTGTCCAGCCCTGCAACCCATCATTTCTTTGAGAAACTCCGGCTTCTCTGAAGTGAGAACTCTTCTTCTGACATTTTAATTATGCGCCGTGTGTATTTTTATTACACGTATCTACCCTACGGGGGCTCTTTTCGTGTTGTATCATACCTTCTGTCTTCTCAACAGTAAGAGCTGAGAAACATGTAAGGGCATGTGTATACCCTCCAAATACACAAATCTAGACACGCAATCATATATCTTTTTCTCTCATCATCTATGTACATGTACACATGCATAAACTTAAGATATTATGGATAATATAAGCATCAAGGTTAAGTCTAGCCTTTATTGTTTGTATTTTTTGTTCAACAATGAAAAACTTATTTCCCATCATCGATATTTAATCATCTGCAAAACTCCAGGCTTTTTTTTTTTCCAGAAAACAGTTTCAGAACTGCTATTTTGCAGGGCTATAAGTAACTTACCCCATAAAGCCACCAAACAGGCTCACTTGTTACTTATTTCCTTTCTTCCCCCCCTTTTTTTCTTCCTGAGACAGAGTTTCTGTGTAGCCTTGGTGGCCACTGGAACTCACTCTGTAGACCAGGCTGGCCTCAAACTCAGATAAGCCTGCCTCTAAAGGCACATGCTGCCAACCATGCAGCTATTTCTACTTTAGGGTTATTTTGTTTTTAAATCATTTCTCACTTCTGTTGGATTTTTTTTTTGTTTTGTTTTGAGACAGAGTCTCACTAAGTAGGCACGGCTAACCTAGAACTCACTATGTAAACCAAGCTGACCATGAACTCACAGAGATCCATTTGTCTCTTCCCAGCCCGGTCACAGCTTGTTGGGTTTTTTTTTTTTTAATTATTACTTTAGAATGTAAAATATTAATCTGATTCCCCTCAAAGCCAGCTCTATCACCAAATTCTTCCAGCTCTATCCTCACTCATCCTCTAAAGACAGCCGATTAACTACTTTCTTCCTTCCTTTCTTCTTTTTTCTTTTCAGTGTTTCAAGACAAGGTTTCTCTCTGTAGCACTGGTTGTCCCAGAACTCACCCTGTAGACCAGGCTGGTCCCAAACTCAGAGATCTGCCTGCCTCTGCCTCCCAAGGGTGTAAAGACTTGTACAACCACTGCCTTGTACTTTTTTTTATTTTTGAAGTGGCCCAAACACACATTTGTTTTGTCCTCCCCATCTCTCGAAAGACTACATTTCCTTTTAAAAGTTTAAAAACATATACTTTGAAAATTATTGCTATCAGTTCCCACATTATTCTTTTTTATTGCTTCGTGTATCAAAGACTAAATGAGCAAAATGTATCTAATTTCCCTCTTTGTCAAGGAATACAGATAAATAAATTTTAAGAATTGCTGGGTTATAAAGTAAACACGTAGCGTGTGAGCTGTAACAACAGTTCAATCACTTGGTCTAAATCACTTGGCTGCTAGTTCAATACACCCCCACCAAGGGGAAATTATGTCTTTAATCTTAGGCAATGTAGGTGGTAAGAATTAGTATCTCAATGCGGAAATGAGAACCCTGCCTGGTTCACAGACATAAACGTTGATTTAAAAACTTCTGTGTTTTTCTGTCGGTTCGTTTGGTTCTGCCTCAAACACACTGTAACTGAGGCTAGGCAGAAAGACGGGGAAAACAATGGGGACCTTCGCCCTGCAGTCTGAAATCTCCCACCAGCTGAGAGTGAAGAATTCAGCACAGCTAGACTGGCACTGCGGTACACACCTTTAATCCCAGCACTGGGGAGGTAGAGGCAGGTGGATTTTCTCTGAGTTCGAGGCCAGCCTGGTCTACAGAGTTAGCTGCAGGACAGCCTGGGCTAACAGAGAAACCTCCCACCAAAAAAATTCCAGCACAAAAATTAACAAAATTCGCTGGGAGGTTGCCTACATGAAGACAGTATTCCTTTTTATAAGGAAATACTTCAAATAAAAACATTATAGCAAAAATCATGTCTAAGGCCAATGCATGCATATATAACCAGGTATGGCTTTTCTCCGCTCCCAAACCAGCTATTTTCTAGGATAGTAAAAGGCGGGTCTTAACCTCTGTGTGCAACCTTAGCGACCCACGGTTTTACCCGATAAGACTATATCATCCAAAGCATCTCTCTGTTGAAGCAAACTTAAACTCTACCTCATATGGACTCGATCAGAAACCCTTCACTAGAGTGTCGTCAGGAATTCTGTGTTCTGAGCAGAGAGCTCTCAAAGGTGCACATACTGCGGGCTGGTCCAGCCGCACGCAGCAGATCCCACGACACTGCCACTAACAACCTTAGTGACCTTTCCCCTTCGAATATTCGCCAGAATCCTTACTGCTTTTCATGAAACTTGGTCTATCTTGCAACGTCCTGAAAGCAAACCTTTTCTTTTCATTTTAAAAACTACTTTCTGCTAGTTTTTTTTTCCTTCTTTGAAAGCTAATGCTAGTTTTTCTTTTTTCTTTAAAGGCTAAAGGGTTTATTAAGCCTTAATCACGATCCAAGTTAAAATCAAAGACCTGTGCCAGAGGAAACGTCCGGGGAAACTCCCATTGGTTTCCCTGCTTCCCGTCTCTCATTGGATTGAAATGTTGCGCTTCAAAAAATTTATTATCTTGAAATAGAGACTGCAAGGACCGGGGGTGCGGGGAGAGGATCCTATGCTAAACTTTAGGAAACCCCATAGAAGAGGAGCAAGCGAGGCCAGAAAAGTCTCACACTCGGCTTGCCGTGGACGTCCCCGCCCTCCACACTCGGGTCGCAGGAGAGCTGACGGGAGCCCCGGTAGATCTTCCCGCCGCGGGCTCCTCACCTGTGGGTAGAGATGCTCCAGAAACTGCTCCCGAGAGACGCCCCGAAGCCGGGGTACCGGAAGGCGCTGCTCCGCCATGCTGGGCCCGGGCTGGTTTCCCCAGGAGGACGCGTCCGTGCGCGAGTGATCCTCCCGGAAACACAACCCCGGGAGAAAAGGGCCGCCAAGGGGACGGAAGCCAGAGGGCGGCTGGTTCGCAACGCGGGGCGGGGGAGTCCGAGGCCGGCTGCCTGGGTTGGCTGCTGTTTGTGTGGCTTGTGACACAGCCGCGATGTGACACAGAGGCGGCGGCAGCAGGCGTCCTTGGCTCCCTTTCCCCGGGACTGCGGAGTTGGTTTCCCTACGGCCTCCTTTCGGGGCTGCACAGGCGTTCAGAGGTGAAAGGTCACAGACATGGCGCTGGCCGCCCGTCTCCTGCCTCTGCCCGGCCGGGCCACCCGACTCCGGACTCTCGGTGCCGCCGAGGTGAGGCTGTCGCTGGCTGAGTTTTGCTGCTTGTGCCGCCGCCGCCTGGGCTCAAGCGCGGCCGCGATCCCTCTCTGTACTTGGGTCCTGTCGAGCTCTGCGCTGTGCTCCTGGGGTCCCCGGAGGCTTCTGCTCCTCCGGGCAGAGCTCCCTCCGTCCCTCGCTTCCTTACCCGCTGCTCCCAGCCGCAGCTACAGCACCGAGGAGCAGCCCCAGCAGCGCCAGAAAACCAGGATGATTATTCTGGGCTTCTCCAACCCCATCAACTGGGTCCGGACTCGAATTTACGCCTTCTTTATCTGGGCCTATTTCGACAAGGACTTCAGCATCGCTGAGTTCTCGGAGGGGGCGAAGCAGGTTGGTTGGCTTCCCCTGACCTGGGCACCTCATGCGTTTCCGCCCTGACATGCTCAAGATTTTAGCTGTGAACGACTTCGTTGCAGCCCGAGTTACCAAACGATGGTAGGGACCCAGACACCGAAGGTTTCAGCCTCTTCTTGACGTTAATAAGCAGCTAGGTGTGTTTGCGTGGTCGTCAAGAAGGAGTGGCTCGGTTAACACACCAGACTGTGTGTGCGTGCCTCTTTAAAGGACGGAAGGCTATTTTAATTTTCCCTTCAGCTTTCTTGGTCAGTTCCTGGCATTTCAGAGAACGATTGACGGACAACAAAGGGAAAAGTCATAGTTTATCCCCCAGTTCATATTGCCAAAGACCAAAAATCATTAAGCATAATTTAATAGCACTGACCATAATTAACTATATGATGGTATTTATACTTTTACTCCTGACCTATTTCAGAGTTTCTTTCATCTCGTAGCCATAGATAACGAACTCCCATGTGATACATTAGTTAGAAATTAGTGTTTTCAACTTCCTGTAATCAGTGTCAGCGTTAACTTTAGTGTCCTTGAATCAACTCTTGGCTAGTACGTGTGTTTACACAAAAAATAAAAAGGAGCCAGCTTAAGTAATATTGCCCACTCCAACATTCGGATGAAGGATACATTTGCTAGTCAGTGTGCTGTGTCCATTGTGCGCGTAGAGGTACATCGGTGTGACCCTACACTCTGCAGTGCCCACGTGTGAGTCTACCTGATCGTCTGGGCACAACTGCACTAGTGCATGCGTGTGTCAGGGATGGAAATCCTCATATAATGTGAAATTGAAAGACCCTCTCGTCTAATCCTCTTTTAGACACGATGAAATCAGGTTTTTAAATTTAGTGTGCTTGTCACCACACTGAAAGAGCTCACTGGTTAAAGAACGCAGACCACTTTTCCAGAGATCCCAGGTTCCATTCCCAGCACCCACGTGGCAGCTCACAACTGTCTGTAACTCTAGCTCCAGGGAATCTCACCCTATCCTCCAGCCTCAGAAGATACACTGTGCTCACATGGTACACAGACGTACATGCAGGCAAAGTATTCACATACATCAGCGTTTTAATGGGTAACATATAATCTAGGCAAGTGTTTATCATGAGATAGGGGAATACATATTCTAATGAACCCATTAGTTGTTCTTACAGTAAAATAACTTTGTCTTCCTAACTACCTTTGAGCCATGCACTGTTTCTTAGAGCTTGCTTGTACAGTTATTGAGTGCTTTCAGTGAAAAAGAAGGCTGTTTCCAGAAATACCTTGAGGTAGACATTCCCATGTCTGAGATCTTGCAGGGTAGCCTCATGATTATTAATGTTTAGGGCAGTTTCTTAGGTATGATTTTGAGCACACAGACTAGAGATGAGGGTTTTGTGTAGTGAGGATAGTCCCTTTTGTCCATAGTTCCAACCATATTGCACACACATTAGAGATGAAATTTGCATAGTGATAGTCCCTTCATCCATAGTTCCAGTCATATTGCACACAAATTAGAGATGAGGTTTGCATAGTGATGATGGTCCCTTTTGTCCATAGTTCCAGTCATATTACAAGTGAGAACTTAGCAAGCATTGTAAGACCCCTGGCCCTGAGGACCTTTAGTGTTCAGGGAGACCCTGAGTCCATTTGTACACGTGCATTTTCTGGGCATCATCTGCATTGATTGTAGTTGTTTACTAAGTGTTACAGTGGAGGACCACAGACTGCATAGCTTAAGCAGAAGTGTTTCAGTATCTCAGCAGAAGCTTTGCCTGCTCCCGAGCCCCTACGTGTGTTTTTGTCCTAGCACCTCTACACATTTCCTCCTGTCATGGATACCAGTGGTCCAGGATTAGGACCTACTGAGCGTGAGCCCCCTCATTTTTTATCCAGTCATGTCTTTAAGGGGTTGTCACCAGATGGAGTCACAATCCCAGGGATAATTTTGTGCTTCAGCATAAGCGTGACAGAGAGGACAGCTGAACCAGTAATACTATACGGTGCTTCTAATGCCCACTCTTCTTGCCCTCTGGTAATTCCTGATATTGTCCTCTCGGCATACTGAGGGCTCCTGAAATACAAGCAGAATCAGAATGCGCCAACTTCCCTCATTGCCGGGAGTGTACAGAGTGTGCTTTCTCTTCCTGCCTTAAATCAAGACCTCACAGTTGATGCTGAGGTTCCCTGGCAGAGATGAGAGACTGGTTCTTCTCCCCCCCTTCCCCTAACCTATGTTATATCTCTTGTCCAGGGGTTCTGTCTATTGTTCAGCTCTCTGCACTTCCAGCCTAGACTATAGAGTGCCCTACTTTCTCATCATTGTCTATAAATGATTAAGAGGTAGATCATAGTTACTTACATCATCATTTTAAAAACACAGTAATTTTTAATTGAGATATCTGCTATATATATGTATATGTGTGTGTGTGTGTGTGTGTGTGTGTGTGTGTATGCGCCACACACTGTCATTTCCCAGGACGTAAAAAATGGGTTCATAATTAGTAGTTTGTTGACTTGAGGTTTTCTGTCCTGCCCATTCCTGCAGCTGTTAAGTCCCAAAGAATCACACAGAGGTCTACATTAGTTATAAACTGATTGGCCCAGTAGCTCAGGCTTCTTCTTAATTAATTCTTATAACTTATATTAGCCCATAATTCTTGTCTGAGTTAGCCACGTGGTTTGGCACCTTATTTGGCGAGGCAGTCACATCTTTCTCTGCGTCTGCAGAATGAATCTTCCCAGAATTCTCGTTGCCCTGCCTCTGCTTCCTGCCTGGCTACTGGCCAGTCAGCATTTATTTAAAACACAAGTGACAGGGTACAGACCCTCGTCCCACAGCAGTAGTGAGCTCATTTGCAACTATGTCTGTGGCCATGCCATCTGGAAAATAGTCACCTTACAATAGCAGCCAGACCCAACGTTACTGCAATAGTTACCAGAGAGCAAATCTTTGTTACAGTAATCACTTAAGTATGTATGTTGTATGGTATTTTATATGATTTTTTGAAATAATTGTCATCTTTACCCTTCTGTTTTTTTTTCAAGGCTTTTGCTCATGTATCTAAGTTGCTGTCACAGTGTAAATTTGATCTATTGGAAGAACTTGTAACCAAAGAGGTAAAGTTACCTTTTAATTTAAAAAGTGTATGATTCTCGCAATAGAATGATACATAGTCTCACATTCTATCAGTAATTATTGAGTTGAATAGCTTTTATTCTTGAGGATGAGTAGATAAGGCAGAACATTTTAAAATAGGTTTTGGAGAATTCCATGATAAATACCACTTTTTTTTTTTTTTGATAAATACCACTTTTTAAAATGCTCTAAAAACTTAAATGGATAAACTTCTGGTTTTTTTTTTCCCACTCAGGTGCTTCAGGTATTAAAAGAAAAGGTCACCTCGCTGTCTGATAACCGTAAAAGTGCCCTTGCTGCCGATGTCGATGATATTGTCTACACGTCAGCAGGAGACATCTCTATCTACTATGACGAGAAAGGTAACGCTGGCCGAGACAACTTTATGACCATCAATTGTTCAAGTAAACCGAAACAGTGGGTGCCACAGGACAGGGGAGTTAGGTCTGTGTGAGCAGACGCTTGTAGCCCTTCAAAGTCTGTATCACTTTTCTAGTTTGTAGAACCAACCATGTATACATAATAAATGAAGAAATAGGCGTTTTAAAAGAAAGAAAAACTATACCATATTTGCTGTTTAAATACCTAACTCTGGAAAGAGTTAGTCCCTGGTAGCAGGTTCTGGCTAGATCTCTGCCTGGTTACTAGTGTTTACTATACAGTAGGAAAGCCCAGGGCCAGGTGTGATGGCTCACACCTTTAATCCCAGCAGAGGTGGTGGGAGGATCTCTGAGTTGAAAGCCAGGCAGGATTACATAGACCCTATCTCAAAAACAAAAAAAAAGAGAATTCTCACATATGTTGATGAAAATAGTTTGTTTAGAATAGGCTGCTCCCAGCCAGGCAGCGACACACACCTTTAATCCTAGCACCCAGGAGACAGAGGCAGGTGGATCTCTGTGAGTTCAAGGCCAGCCTAGTCTATAAGAACTAGTTCCAGGACATGCACAAAAGAAACCCTGTCTCAAAAACAAAAAAAAAAACAGGTTGCTCCATGTTTCAAATAAAAATATTTATATATTGGATTTCCTAAAGTGTAGAAAACACTTGAGTATTTTACATTTCTAGCTGTGTGTTATAAGGAAGGAATAAAGTATAAAACAAAACCAAAACAGCATCAGAAGATAAAGACGGGTAAGATTATAAAACTCCCAGATTGAATTAGGCAACAGTGGCAAAGCTGGAAGAACTCTGGTGCTTATCTGGTTCTCTTCCTTTTCCAGTACATGAATTTTCCAATAGCACACCC